AAGAGACACGCACACAGGGGCAGCTGCTGGTCCCCCTCCCTTCTCTGAAACAAGCCGCATGGTTCCTGCCTGGCAGCCTGGTGACCCCGGGCCGTGCTGGGGTGTCCCAGACTCTGGGGCGCCCTGCCAGCACCGCGCGGAGGAGGAGGCTGGGGGACGTGGGAAGGGCGAGCGGACGAGAATGGAATGTCCTGTTGCTGGAACACGCCATCGTGTCAGTTCTGTGGGTTTCCTTCTTCTTTCTTGGGCTTTCCCATGTGGTTTGTGAAGCGGCCCCATGTGGACTTTTAACCTCCTGTAGCTGCTGCTGCTGCTACCCGCACCCAGGCTGCGGCTCGGCCCAGCAGCGAGAGAGAGAGCCCAGCCGTGCCAAGAGGCGCCCACGGGTGTATTAAAGGGGTGCCAAAGAAGAACAGCGGATTTCCGGGCTCAAGGCTGGAAACTCGAGACCTGGACGGCCCTGGGTACTACTGCAGCGAGGGGCAGACGATCCTGCAGCCCGGCTCTGGTGCCCCTTAAACCCTGGCACCCACGTGGCATTCAAGTTCCCCCGGAAGACGACTCTGCCTGGAGGAAGGAGGACTAATGAGCTCAAGAGTCGCTCCGACTGGAAATGACGCTGGTGAGCCGAAGGCCGGGAACCGCTGAGTACGTGTTCAGAGAAGAAGCTGTTGCTCCCCCAGGGAGGGATACTGGGCTTCTTGGGAAACGGATGTTAAACACTGGTATGCACCGAGATCTCGGATGTGGTTTGTTCCTACCATCACTAAAACGGGCACAAAGGAAGTTTAACTTTAAACACATGGATCCTTGCAAACCAGCAAGTAACTGTCACCTCCTGTCGTAAAAAAAGAGGAGTAACGTGCTGCTTTGAAAAAGAAATATTTAATAGTGTATTAACTGTTAAATGACCAAGGAGACACCGGAGCACGGAGGGGCGGTCAGTGTCCTGCTGCCCTGGCCTCGGCGCTGCTGTGCTTGCCCCGCAGACTCAGCTGTCTCTTGGCTTCAAACAGCAGGATACTGGCCGCCATCGCGGAGTTCAGACTGTCCACGCCGGGAACCATGGGAATCGCCAGCCTCCGCCCTCTCGTCCTCTGGGCCAATAGCAGCGCCTCCAGGCTGAGTCCGTGAGTCTCTCCGCCAATCACGACAGCGGTGTGGCTCCGGGCCCAGTCCTCGTGATACAGCTGGGCCTCCACCACCGGGAGCGACAGCTGGGCCTCTTCCTCCTCCTCGGAGTCGGAATCCGAGTCGGAATCGGCGGGGGTCTCCCTGGAATGGGAATTCCTCGGGCCGGGTCCGCCTTCTGCTTTGCGGGGTGCCGTGGAGGGCGCCCCCTCTCCAGGGGTCTCCCCAGCAGGGCTGCAGTTGTCAGCCAGGTGCACGGTCACGGTCTCCTCCAGGAAGCGGGGAATCTCGCTCCAGGGCAGGCCGGGAATGATGGGGAGGCGGAAGTGGGCGCCCATGGCGGCTCGCAGCACCTTCGGCTCCCAGACGTCCACGCAGCCTGCGGGGTGAGAGGGGGACAGCGATGAGACCCCCAGGGCTCTTCTCCCGGACCCCAGTATAAAATCCCCCCGGCGCAGAAGCCCCAGCGTGGTTACAGCCCCCCAGTCCTGGACGCCCACATGCCTGCTGGCTTCTGTTCCCTTACACTGGTGAACGCTTCATTGATCCAACAGGATTGTGGGGAACTGTTTGACTGTTTTCAGCTCTCAAACAACCAGAGCTTGACTTTAAACTATTGCGTTTCCTCCCTGTCAAAAAGCCCAAACCTTTGAGTATAGAAAAACAGCAAAGGTTCCTATTGAGCACCATAATTCCATTCAGACTTTAATGTTGTAATTAAGCTTGGCTGGAAGGAAAACCAGGAACAGGAATGGAAGCTGCTGGGCTAAGCAATGGAATATGGGCCACATCCGGACAGTGCCAGGGGCTGCAGGTGGCTCTGTGGCTCAAGATCTGCGCCTGTGGCTGGAAGGTTGCCGGTTCAAATCCCGCAGCCGGCAGGGGAATCCTACTCTGTTGGGCCCCTGAGCAAGGCCCTGCACCCCAACTCCTCCAGGGGCGCTGTATAAATAGCTGACCCTGCGCTCTGACCCCCAGCTTCTCTCCCTGTCTGTGTGTCTCATGGAGAGCAAGCTGGGGTATGCTAAAGACGAATTCCTAATGCAAGAAATTGTAAAGGGCTAATAAAGCAACATTATATTATTATTATAAAGGACTGTATGAGCACTGTGCAACACATCACCAGTTCATAAACAAGCACACAGAGTGATGTAGCGCCCTCTAGTGTGCACTCAGTGCAGCGATTCTCAGTGCTGTGTGGTGCTCAGTATTTGGGAACTGCTGGAGGAGGCCAGTTAACTGTAGAAGCATCCCGCACGTAGCCCTGGTGTATCGACTGTGGTATATTCATCCCCCCGCCAGGGCTCGATTTCCATGAGCTGCTGCCCCTTCCTGCATCCACCCCCCCTGCGTCTGCCCCCGCTGCGCAGTCTCACCCCGGGTCAGCAGCACCCGCTGGCAGCCGGCGGCGGCGGCGCTGCGCAGGATGGTGCCCAGGTTGCCCGGGTCGCGGATGTTGTCGCAGACGAGGGAGAGGGGCAGGGCGTGCTCCCGCTGCTCCGGCGGGAAGGCCAGCTGCGAGGGCTCGGGCTGGGAGAAGATGGCTGCGGGGGGCGAGACGACAAGACGACGCGGCCGTCAGCTCCCGGCGCCTCCCGCTCCGAGGCGCCGCCGCGGCCCGCGGCCCATCGGGACAGCGGGCGGAGCTGCTGGTCTAGAGGGGGGTAACGGGGGCAGACTGAGACCGGCTGGGAGAGGGAGAGGGGTGGATTAGGGTTGAGGGAAAGGGATGGAGGTAAATTAGGGGTGGATTAGGGAAGGAGAGATGGAAGAGGGATGGAGGTAGACTGGGGATGGAGAGATGGAAGAGGGATGGATTGATGGATTAAGGATGGAGGT